TTTGGGCATTTGGCTCATATCAGCGGTACCCGTCCTAAACTAACAAAGTAATAGTACAAAAATGATAAGGGCTTAGGCTCAAAAATAACAAAATACAATGTTTTTAAAAATAAAATAATATAAAGTGGGTTGCTTGGCCCCAACTTCTTCAACTCTTCCAATTTGGCTTTTTCACTTCGGAACCTGCACGCCCTTTATAAGACGGGCTGACTCGAAAGAGGAGCTTGAGACTCCACGAATCTTTCTCGAAGTGCAAGGGGAAGAAGTCCACCATGGACTCGAAAGGGGTTTATATAACAAACGAAAGAAAAAATAAAATTAGCATATGAAAAGAGAAGACATTTAAGACATGATTTTGAATGAGATCAAGCGACTTAGTTTAAATGAGAACCATCATTACATTCACGAACAAGCCACTACTTATCAAGACAATAATCCCTTATGATTTCAAAAGGACAACAAATTGGACCCATCGAATTGCAGTAACAACAAGAAATTAACATCATACTCAGAATGCAAAAATACACAAAACTTTCCCACAATCACATACAACAAACCATCCTCTCTCGATATTTTAAGCAAACCACATACTAACCACGGTGATGCAATCAAATATTTTTTTCAACATGAACGAAACTTAAAGATAGAAAGCGACAAGAAAATTAAACAAATCACAGAAACAGATCGCCAAACTTGTGATTAGCAATATAAGCAAGCCATATTTTCCTAAATATAATCAAAACTATACAACCCCTATTCTATAACTTAACAGACAAAATAAGAGAAAATAAAACAACCAACATGATTTTCAGATTTAAAAATAATTCATGAAAATGAACCCATTTACCGCTACTATGGATAAGTTTAACAGCAAAGCTCCAAACGACTTAGCCTGATTGTAACGAAAATAAAACGACCACTTGAAATTAATTCAACAAACTTATGCTTTTAGAAAAGTTATGCATCAAATATTTGAAATGAAAAAGAAATAAAATTTGATAAGCAAGAGGAGACTTGAAGAGGGCAGCCTCGAAGGGAACATGGGATTGAGACGCCAAGCTATGTCGATTCGCACATACTTAAAACTTAATGAACACGTTGAATTCACAACAAACAGAGGCAAACCAAGACTAGCTGAAAATTTGAAACCAAATGAGCAAAATTTCAGAAAATATGAAAGACAAACATTATATAACTTGAAATCGATTTGAAGAGAAAAAAAAATATAATAAACTTCAAATTCATACACCTGTACAAATCATATTCAAAACTAAGTAAGCCAAAACAAAGAACTTTAATCTTCATAATAGTCATCACAGAATCAGCTAAGCAAAGAGAGACTTAAAAGAGAAGTGAAGTTATATACCGTTTCCGAGGCGGCGATCTGGGACAAAACGAGGAGAGCACCGACAATCTCAACCACAAAAGTTCCGACTCGAGCAGCGACCAAGGAATTCGAACAGAATATCAAACTCAAAAATCGAAACTAGTTCTCCTCTATTTTTTTTAAAAGTGTATTTAGTGTGTGTTCTAGCTATTTTTTGCTTAAGTATTTCTCTGTTCTCTTACTAAAATCTCACTTCAAAAGGTCCAACTGATATTTTTTTTAATTTTTCTGATTGACAACCTCTAAAAAAAACTCACTACTATGTCTCTGTTATGTTTTTTTTTTGAAGATTTCTCTTAGGTCTTCCTCCAAAAATCCCCCTCCCCCTCTACTGAAAGAGATGATATAGAGGGAGAACAATTAGGGTTCGAAAGGGAAAAAAGGTAGAATCGAGATTTTACTTCGAGAATTCAAATCGGATAACTTTTACCTGCAAATTCAAACTCAATACCGAAAGGGAAAGGAAAGGGACGTCTAGGATCAACCCATGTCTTCATCTTGAGGTCGCAAGGACGAAACACGGACTGCTTATGCTGCTACAAGGACACTAGCTGCAGGCGGCCAGCAGAAAAAGTCGTTCGAGCCGAAAGAGACGTTAGGAGTGCGTAGGAGTCGCTGGCCTCGACGCTTGGAAGAGGCGCGCAACGTTGCTGATTTTGGCGTCCTTTTTGGATATTCTCTAGGTGAAGAAGAAAAAGGATTGGATCGGGCGAAATTTGGGCTGTTGAGGGGGAAAGCTTGGGTTACAAGAGTTGAAGAAAGATGAGTGGGCTGGAAATTTTGAAATAAAGGCATGATGTACAATGGCCCAAAATTGGTCTGGAAGGACAAGAACTTTTGAATTTGGCCCAATCATTACAGCCTAATGAATTTAAACTGTAACCAAAATTAAATTTTAGTAACTTGGATTGACATTTAATTAATCGACGAACCTCTTTAAAATTTAAACGAGATAAAATAGTTGACTTAGTTATAACCAAAGACTCAAAAATGTAAACCAACCATTTAGACAAAATTAATTTAATAAAAATGTTAAATAAAAATTCAAAATCCTTTTGAAACGAATTTTTGAATTATATTACTTAAACTATAGCAAAACAAACCAATAAATTAGTTATAAACTAAGGAAACAAACTAAAAACACTAAAACTAATTCAACAAAGCGTTAAGTGGAATTAAAATCTTTGATGCGATTTCGGACATTTTATAAAATAAATTAAGCGTATTAAATATATATATATATATATATATATATATATATATATATATATATATATATATATATATATATAGGTACGCATATATCACTTTAAAGATTATAAAACGGCTAACACACTTTAACAAATAACTAAAAGAAAACTTTGAATTTTAATTGTTTCAACTCATTTGGGAATCAAGAAGTTCAAAAATTGATTATCATCGAGGAGGGTCAAAATTGGGTGTCAACAAAGCTTGAAAAATATAAATAGGTACGAATGATACTTAAGAATAGTCCAATAACCATAAATTTGGAAACAAAATAACTACACCCCAAGACTAGAAGAATACTGAATTGTTGATCAGTAAATTATCATTCTAGAGGCTTGTTTGTAAACTTGTTCAAAATTTCAAAACTGATATGCATTTCTAAGTGGCAAAGTTGTGTTGGCCTTTAAGAAGCAGCAAAGGCATACCTTGTCGGATTGTTGAAGATACCAATCAAGTTGGACAAACTACATAAATTTTACTAGTTTGGATTTTAATTACTAAGATTTTCGATAGTTTAAAATATTACGTCTTCTATCATATTTCGTGCTTAGAATATGCGAGTCTGAATATGGAAGATATATGTATCTATTGAATATTAAAATTGAGATACTTATTTTATTTATTTAAATTAATTGGTTGTAAATTATTTCTTAATTAGTGGAGTTATGTTGAGGATTTTCAAAATAGATAATTAATTTTAAAATTTTAAAATAATGAAATCCCTTAATATAAGACAAAAATCAAGGATTATATCTATGTTTAATTAATTTCATTTTATTATGTTATTAATAAAACATTATATCTTTGTTATGTAATTTGATTAGTTTCATTTTATTACTCTTACAATAATAAATTCATTGATTTGATGTATCTATTGTCAATATATAGTGTATCCAACCAACTAAACACTTAGATACATGAGTATCATACAAGTATATGCATATGTATAGTAGAAGTATCGAGTATTAATTCAATTTATCTATTAATAAGATCTATTATTATTTTCATGTGTCTATTTATATGATATAATATTATTTCATGTATCTTTTATCTGTATAATTTGATGTATTAAGTATCAATTTCATAGGTTATATCCAAAAATATGTATCTCACATAAATATGAAAATAGCTAGATATATTGTAATAAAAAAAAATATATATGATAATATTGAGATACATGATATAAGATCATATATATATATGACAAGATTCGGATATAAGACAAAATAAATTGTGTCAAATACATGCGTAAACATAAATTCTAATATATTCATTAGATACATACACGCTTAATAAGATACATTGATAAAAATTAGATACATATAATCATATCTCAATAATGTATTAGATACATCAATAATGTGCCAAATACATGAGTAAATTTCTGCTTATTGAAACTTTCCAATTACGTTCGTGGCTTGTCATGGCATCTCACCACGGTGGTGTTTGCTTCACCTTTTGATTCATCGGTGTTCTCAATGTGCCTAGATCCGGCGGGAGAAGTGAAACGAAGTTTCATTGTTGATCTATAGTATACAAGGTATGAAACTGATACTTTCGTCAATGTCGAATTTGATAAATTTACTGGGCTTGAAATCTTTGCTACAATGATACCCATTTGTCCCTGCAGGCGACTGATGTCTCCCCTTGCAAGAAAAAATAGTGGATTCGCGGGGAATTGATGTGAGAGTGAAGAAGATCAAAGGCTAAGAATTTTATGTGTCCATTTAAATATAATGTTTCTTCTCAATAAATTTTGACTCTTCAAGTGAAAATGAAGGAGAAATGTTAGAGTTTGAGTTTTACCCTAACTCATACTCCGTAAATGAAGATCTTTGTTTTAAATTAAAACACTAATCTAGGAGTTCAAAATGTAAAAATAATTAATCAATCCTAGTTTTAAAGGATATGAGTATTGATTGTATATATATAATTATTTAAGAAATAGAGATAAAATTAGTATATATGTGTGCCATCTATGCCAAGTGTGTTACTATCATGCCCAAGAATATCTAGCTCGCCAGAAGAATTAGGGGTGAAAGAGCTTACAAGGGTGGAGAAGCTTGAAACTTTATCAAGGGCGTTCAAAATTTTATATACCATTAGAATTATGTATAACATGTATTTGCTATAATGGTATTTTACTATAATAATTATGTTTTATGTGAAATTGAACTTTCATATTACGTTTTATTATATGTTTTTTGAAATAACATTTCTTTACAACAATAATTAAAAAAGTATTGGAATGTGTAATGTTGTTATTGAGTGATTTGACTTTTATACGTAGAAATAGACCTATATATGTAGTTCAATAAACAATATACATCTTTTGTTTAATATTGTTTGACTGATCACCCTTCAGTGAATATCTGACAATGCTTGCAATTATAAATTAGTGAGTATAAATAACGCTAAAAAATAAGAAATCTCAAGTTTGTGCCTAATTAGAATCGTGAAATTTTATATAGGGTACGTTTCATTTATTGTGAAACCTATACAACGTGAATTTAGATTAGTTGGATCAATAAATTTCTAATACCGATGATGTAAAACAAAAAAGAAAAGGAATATATGTTAAAACCTACTACATTTTAAACTCAGAATGCACAATTTCGAAGTTGCTAGTCGTGCCAACAAATTAGAATGATTATACATCTTCTCATTATGTAAAGCCTTCCTCTCTGTTCTTTGAGAAACCTTCCAAGTTTTCCACTTGATATCCTCTTTTTCGAATTCTCATATGTAGCAGTATTTCTCCTCCTCATTTTGGTAGGTAATTTTGCTTGCAAATTGTAAATATTGGTTTACTCAATTAGAAGAAATTGAATTATAGAGTTTGGATTTGAAATGCAAAGAGGAGGTCTTCTTATAGAGGAAGAACAAGGGGTGTGGTCCAAACTTTCAAACTCCCAAACTAGGAGTTTAAGTACATGGGTTTAATGTTTTAGATTAGTGTATACATATTAAATACTTTTCCCGTTCATTTTTACTTTTTAACTTTGAGTTTTTGCATGTCTATCGAAAAACGATGATTTATATGAGTATTTTACTATATTATCCATACTAGTCACTTAATTATAACTTATTTGCACAAAAAGTCACTGAACTTTCATTTTCAACTCAAAACTCACTCAACTATGACTTTTTTGCACATAAATGAATATTAGAACTTGAAAACTGATTTGATGAATAAGTAATTATAATGCTGAGGGTAAAACATGGAAAAATATAATTACGAATCAATAATCTAAAGGCTAGTTCCTCTATTGTTCAACTAAATGAGAGTGCATTAGTCGAATACAAAGACAAAATAAGAATTTAAATTTGACAAATTTATTTTTGTTCGCTTTCTTTTAATCTATATGACTTACTTTCTTCTTTAGTCCGTCTAAAAAAGAATGACACATTTTTATATCAGATAACAATTTTAACTTTAAAATGCTTATTTTACCCTTAATGAAATAATTTACATTCATATAAATTCTACAAATTATTTTAGATCATAAATTTCAAAATTTCTTTTTTTTGAACTTCGTGTCAAGTCATATTAACTCGTATAAATTAATATGGAGGGAGTAATATTTTTATCATTGAACACCTTATACTCTTCAAATTATGAGTTTAATATTTAATAACTCCGCACTCTGCAATCTGATTTACGTGAAGCATTTTCATTATTGTTAATTGTTCCAAAAAAAAGACATTTTTATATTGAGAAACAATTAAACTTGCAATTTCCTATCTTATCTTTAACGAGATGATTTGCAGGAATACAATTGTCAATGACTAGTTTCATATAACCACAATAGTGTTTTAAAAATAATCTTGATTTTCCAATTTCACTATCCAATTAAACTATCAAAATACATCATATAAATAAAAAAAAAGAGAAAGTAATAAATTCCAGTGATTCATCCCATTTATTAATTTTATTAATGTCGGAGGTATTCAATTTCAGTTAAAAGTTACATGAATAAATTTAGAGGTGAGTGATCTTAAACTTTTTAACCTCACTTATCTTATGAGCAAAACATAATTTTTTAATGAATTTAAAATCAAAAATCTTTAAAGGCCTTTGACTTATAAGTCAAAAATAAATATATAAATTCATACTGATACACACTTGAAGAAGGGACCAAAAATTTAAGATCATCTATTTTCAAAATCATTCAATATAATTTCCCAATGAGTCCATTTTGGTACATGGCCCCATGACCCCAAACCCAAACCACACTTGTAATCTAAGCCTTGAAATTCTCTTCAACAATATTAAGGTTAGCATTATTCAAGGCCATGAGGATAACTTGGTCGGCCATATAAGATGAACAAAACATATTTTACGAAATGGTTTTACTAACACTTGATTTGTTTTAATACTAGTGCTTATTATTTATTGAAAATTTATTCCTTAGCCAAATATATAATTTTAGTGTCTTGAAGAACTTTTTGTTGTGAATATATATATATATATATATATATATATATATATATATATATATATATATAATATTA